TTTCTTGACAGACCAACTTTGGTCGCTAAAATTTGGTCGCTTTTTTCCGGAATTCTAGTAGTGGTACTCAAAAGGCTGTAATTGCTCTCATACTATAAAATTTCTCACTTGTTTTTGTTCTTAATATTGCTCATATTACTGCTTCCGGAGAAACTCATCATACAACCAGGCTTGTAGTTTTTAAAGTTATTTTTACATTCTTGGTTTCGTTCTTTTTTATTTCATTTTTTTGGATCAAGTTTATTCACGTGTCTATGAATCACGTTATAAATTCAACTGTACTATTTTCCAGGCATTGATAACCTACCTATAACTACTAACAGACATGAGATCTAGTTAGGAGGCCAAAAAGAACGAATAATAGTAAACACAGCTCAGGAGATCGTTTACAAACTGGACGGCAAAAAAAGACATCCCAAAAACAAAGATAAATAAATAAACAAAGAAAAAGAAACGAAATGAAGATTACAACATGAAAGATGGAAAATAGTGATAAAGAAATATTATTAGGCACTAAATAATGGCAAAATCCAGATTAAGGACTATAATTTTTGCAAGATTAAGTGAGCACCACACTGAGGTCGAAGAGTGACGACATAAGTAGGGGCATGAGTGTATGATGGAGAAAGCTGGAAAGCAAAACGTTGAAGGATCATTGCTAAGGCAATCTTAGTTTCCATAATTGCAAAATTGTTACCAATGCAAATACGAGGACCCCAACTGAAAGGCAAGAAACAAAGTCTGTTCTTTGTCGCTGTTGCAATTCCCTCAGCAAATCTCTCTGGTTTGAATTCCTTAACATCATCACCCCATAATTCTGGATTATGATGAACAAATATTGTTGGTATTACCAGGATCACTTCAGGAGGGATACTCATATTTCCTAGCTTTGTCTCTTTGTATGCTTTTCGTACGAAATATGGTGCAGGTGGATACAACCTTAGAACCTCATTCAGGATCATAGTCACCTGTTTATCAATAAGATTTGAACTATGTTATAGTAGTTCAATATACTATACCCTAATGGAAATGTATACTAGTTAATTAGCGGTTTAGTTAGTTAAGTGCATAAATATATTACTGTGCAAAAGATATTGATGATAGCTATCATTATATATAGTTAACATATTATAACAAGTTAGCTGCTTTATTTTTTAGGTACCAAAATTTAGCTTGCTATATGCAGTTAGCAATTATTATATGTCTAACTTAATGCATAGAAATGTAAACTTATTATATGTCAGCTTAATCTCATGGCGTAAAAATTTGCTTATTTTCAATGCATAGAATGTAGATTTAATTCCTTTTAAAGAGTTATATATGACTTCGAGAATTCCTCTGGTATCCAACTATTTGACAGTTAAAAATGAATTTTCTATAAAAAAAAAATTGTGCATTAAATGTAAAAATACTTTTACCCCATCAAGAGAAGGTGGCCTATAACAATAGTTAACTCTCTATAATATAATCCAAATTTAGTAACCTAAAAAATGCAGGGTAAAAGGCAAAATTCTTTTAGTATGTATATACAAGTTACTTAAATCCTTTCCTATGTTATAGCCATTTTGACCTGCACGTCACATTTTGATAGCTTAAATCTTGATCTATTTCTTATTCTTCAACCACCCTTAATCCTAAAAGAATAACTTGAAATGGTTGAAGTGTGTATTGTGTCATCATCTCGTTTAAAAGCTTAATTATGTTTACAATTTACATGTCAACATGTTGACATGAATTTTTTTATGGACTATTTATCTAAAAGCTTAAACTGTTAAAGAGATCATATTTTTATTACCTACTTAATTAATTGTGTTTTCAACTGGAAATTAAGATAGCAAAACAAGCTTTAAGAGTCGTTGTTAGTTGTTAATTACTCACAATTTTGAGACGGCTTAACCCTTCAAAATCTGGTTTATTGTTTTGGAAGACTTGCTGAACCTCTTCTCTTGCGCGAGCTTGCCAATTTTGGTGCATACTTAATAAAACCATAGTCCAAATGAGTAAATTTGAAGAGCTCTCTTGGCCAGCAAAATAGAAGATTTTGCATTCTTCTATCACCTCATCAGTTGTCATACCAAACTTTCTTCCACCTTCTTGAATTTCCTTCAAATTGGACTTCAGTAAAATACCCAACAAGTCCTCCTCATCACTTGCTTCTCCCACCTTCATTGCTCTTTCTCTCTTGCTCACAATCTTCCTTAAAATATCTCTAAGTTCATTGTCAATGGCTTTCATTCTTCTATTTGTTCTTGTTGGTAAATACCTGTGCAAATCACATAAACTGAGTGACAGAATTATATTTTGGAGAAAACCACAAAAATATCTGTTACTTCTCGTTTAGCATGAGTTTAACTTCTGCATACTCCCGCTATAAAAGAATTTTTGCACTATAACGTCATTTAAAAAGATAAATTACATGTAAGCGACAGATATTACCGACAGTGTTGTATATCGACAATGTTAAATAATTTTTATACTGGCAGTATAACTTAATTGTTGTAATATGTTACTTGTCTTATTTTACGAATAACTCGTTCCACTTATTATCCACGTTACATGTGTTATCTCTTAGGTGACCTGATATTGAAGTTAAACTCTAATAAATGAGTTAAACAATTTTTATACTGACAGTATATATAATTTAACTATTGTAATGTTACTTGTCTTATTTTAAAGATAATTTATTTCACTTATTATCCGAGTTACATGTGTTATCTCTTTGATGTCCTGATATTGAAGTTAAACTCTAATAAGTGAGATCAATAACTTGAAAAATGAGGCAGATAATCTGCTACCACATATTAAAATATATTGACAGTGTAAAAATATAGTAGTAAGTATAATTAAATCCTTATATATACCTCCACCCAGGAATGTAAACCGACTGGAAAGCTTGGCGTGTGAGTTCAGCTAGTTCTTTTTGAAGATGAAATATTCTTGTTCCTTCTGCATAACTACTGCCAAATGCTGTTCTTGAAATCACATCACTTGTTAAATCTTCAAAATATGGATGCACGTCCAATTCGTAGGATTTATTTTCGGAGAGAAGAATTTCCCACTTGTTGATCATATCCTCACAGCTGGTATGCATTGCTGGCAGCATACACTACATTGATCAAGTACCATTTCAAAAGAAAGAAAAAAGAGGGTAATTAATTAAAAAGATTTATTCCCATTGAGACCTATAGCATAGGCTATATATATATATTCAAGATTTAAATCAATAAATGCGTAGTACAGTCAGACCTCTCTATAACAGCATCCATATGTAATAGTTATTCACTATAAAAGTCAAGTTTTTCTTGAAACCGATTTTTATATTATGTTATAATATGTATCATCTATAACAACACTTCACTATAGCAGCCAAAACAATTCGGATAAACGAGATTGTTATCAAGAGGTTTGGCTGTACCTAATTCACTATGTCTTTGCGACAATTAGTACGAACTTATAGTACAAATATATATCTACGATATAATTTAAGGGATTGAGTATTTACCTTCAATTTCTCGGCGTAGAATGCAGTGTTAATAATTTTTCTGTGCTTAGCCCATTTCTCGTCCTCATAGCTTGAGATGCCACTAACAAGAAGCTGGACAAGTGGGGCTGGTTTTGGTTTTTTGAAGATGGTGTTGTTGGTTACTATTTCCTTTATGAGTTCTGGTTCCATTACGAAAATCCTCGGTTCTGGACCTATCCAGGCGTAACAGTGGTTACCTGTAATTCAGCCACTTTAATATTAGTGCTGCGTTATGAATACATAAGTACATAGTAACTCTGAGAATTATATTATTCCCTTTTTTCCTATTTCAGAAATCACTGATAATTTAAAGCTAGATCAACCAAATTGGTTATGATCAAATAATGTACAGTCAGAGCCAATACAGTTCAGCTTATTCACATGTGAGAAAGATTTGGAAATGAAATGTATAATTCAACTTCGTGTTCAAAACTAAATTAGAAGAAAAGAGCCTTGTACTTTCTCTTACAACCTAAAATAGTGCTGAATATCTTCTTGTTTTTTTCCTTTACGATAAATCTACATTTGATAATATCAAACCCCTTTATATTATTCCTTTTATTTAGTACTTTCTCTTCTTCTTTTCTACAAAATATTTCCAATTATTTCAGCCTTGCGCACGGTATTTCCCTTCTTTACTTCATTTTTAATTTGTAGAAAATAAACATTTTTCAATATGGGAACCTTGTGCACGGTATATTTCCAGGGGGTTTTCAATCATTTTAAAAAGCAAAAAAAACTACGCTCGTCATATACAAGTAAAATGATTTAGATTATACATATTTTACACTGCGTTAGTACATAAAACTTAAATTCTAAGGGCTCGTTTGGTATGAGGGATAAGGGATAATTAATCTCGGAATTAAATTTGAGATGAGTTTATCCCATGTTTGGTTGGATAAAATCGTGTTATAACTAATCTCGGAATTAGTTATCCCGGGATTGTAGTATTTTTTATCCTTGAGGTTGGGATAACTAATCTCGGGAGATAATTAATCACATGATAATTATCATGGGATAACTTGTTTCCAAACCAAACGACCCCAAGTTAAAAAGCATAAGTGCAGCGATTTGGTGGTCCTAAATTTTTGCTACAGCACTAGGTTAAGAATCATGAGTTGAACCCTAACTATATAAAAACAGGAATTAAATTAAATGGACCACAATTAAACAAAGATGTTCGATGAAATTAGAGGACCACAGATCACAGATACAGATCTGATTTCGAGCTAAAATCCATCTACCTACCGGGAAACACGCAGAAATAACAATACTCTATTCGATTTAATTCAGAAAATAACAAATTATCCAGCAAGTTCCCTATTTTCATTACAGAATAATGCAATTCATCCTGCAGTACATGCATGTTTGTTCTCGAGCAAATAAAGATTTTTATCATTAAATATAGAAGTATTCCTCATTCAAGTCAGAACAAAATAGTGAAATAAAAAAGTGTTCCAATGGAAAATTATATTGTCCCTTTGTTTTTGCATTAATACATGGAAATTGGTCCTTTGTTTTTTTCTTCTCATGTTTTAGTATAACATTTATATTTTATACTCTCTGCAAATTAGTCAGCCAGCTATTTTGAACTAAATGAATGATCCTAAATAAAGTGATTTAGAAGAAGATTAGGACCTCAATGCACAAAACCATAGGGACAATTTTTCAATGATATGCTTTTTTCCAATCTTTATCGGCTAGTCGTGTCAAAATCATGTGATCATTTCAAGAAGTAATTACTAAATGTTCATCCAAGTTATGAATATAACACAATTAAGTCATTTTTTTTAACAACAAAATCATTCAACTTAACCCAATCTTCCCAAAAAATCATTTTAGCCGAACAAATTGCTACTTTTCAGTGCCAGAAGATAACGTGGCATGCTATATCACCCATTAAACTTTCGAATTTCTCAAATAATCATCCAACTTATGAAGGTTTGCAAAGTCTTCTTTTGTTTCTGAAATATAATCCGTCCCAAGTTAATAATATTTACTTGATAAATATTTTCTTTCCCCAATTAATATTTTTATTTTTAACCATGTAAATTTTCTCCCATTAACCCAAAAAACTTAATAAATGAATTTTTTTCCCAAATAAAAAGATACACTGATTTGAGGAACAAAGGTGTTAAAAAAAAAAGGTGTAAATAAAATAAGTTTTTACTCGACAAATAAATTTATTCACCAAATAAAAGATACTGTACAAATTAGCGCAATTGCAAATTTAACTTTATGAATCCTAAAGTAAATGAGTGGTCTTAATTAAAGTGATTTAGAAGGAAATTAGGACATCAGTGCGCACAAACCATTTCGGGCCAGTATTTATTAGCTGGTCGATCGATTAACCTCGTATATTGACATGTACGGTTAAAATTCATTGACTGATCATTTCCGTGCTCAACTAGTAACGGTTACGCAACTTTTTTCCATCACAAGAATATACATCATTAATCACTATCTTAACATCACTATGTCATTTCTCAAAATCATACTGATTTTCCAAATGAAACCCTCCTTATTGCATACAAAGAAAATTTTGAGAAACGTATATGTTTAGCCACTCCCAAAAATGATAGCCGATAATTTTATATATATGTGTGTGTGTATTATATACAAAAAATATTCATATTTTTTTTTTTACACTTTTCGGCTAACAAATCAATTAGTTTCAGCCAACATGTCAGTTTTGTATTTTGCCCAAACATTTTTATTTTTTATAACAAATCTGATATTGTCACTTTTTTATTTCTAAAATAAAGGATTTAAGTAGTATACACTCACAATATA